GAATGCAAACTGGTGCAGCCTCTATGGAAAACGGTATGGAGATTTCTCAAAAAATTAAAAATAGAAATACCTTATGATCCAGCTATCCCACTACTGGCTATTTATCCAAAGAACTTGAAATCAACAATTCAGAGAGACTTATGCACCCCTATGTTCACTGCAGCATCATTCACTATAGCCAAGAAGTGGAACCAACTCAAGTGTCCATCCACTGATGTTTGGATAAAGAAGATGTGGTATATAGATACAATGGAATACTACTCAGCCAGAAAAAAAGACAAAATCGTCCCATTTGCAACGACATGGATGGATCTTGAGAGCATGTTAAGCAAAATAAGCCAGACAGAGAAAGGCAAACACCGTATGATTTCACACATATGTAGAAGATAAACTAACACACGGACAGAGAGAAGAGATTAGTGGTTACCAGAGGGAAGGCGGTTGGGGGGTGGGCACAAGGGGTGAAGGGGTGCATTTATACGGTGACTAACAAATAATAATGTACAACTGAAATTTCATTATGTTATAAACTATTATGACCTCAATAAAAAATAAAAAAAAAAAAAGATGGGGATAAACAGAACTATAGGAGCAAAGTTTTTGAATACAACTGAAATCAGTAAGTATTATTCCAAACTAGATTGTTTTCATTTTAGATGTTACTGGAACTCCCTAAGACAACCACTGAGAAAATAACTAAAAAATATATATTAAAAGAAACAAAAGAATTAAAATGGTACATTAGACAGTATCTATTTAACACAAAGAAGGCAGTAATGGAGGAACGGAGGAAAAAAAAAGACAGAAAGCAAATAATACATAAATTCTCTCTTATCAGTAATTACATTAAATTTAAATCAGCTAAGCCCTCTGATCAAAAGGCAGAAATTGGCAGAATAGATAAAAACAAAATCCAACTATATGCTGTGTATAAAAGACACAGTTTAGAGTGAAACAACAAATAGGTTAAAAATAAAAGGATGGAAAGATTTATCATGCAAACAGTAAGGGAGAGCAGGAGTGACTATATCAGATAAAACTGACTCTAAGACAAAAATTGTTACTAGAAATAAAGAAAGATTTTATAATGACAAAAGAGTCTATACGTCAACATGACGTAACTATTATAAACATTAAATAGAAACCATGTCTACTGTCAACACTGCTGACACCAAATGTGTGGGTTTTCTACACCAAGCAATTCTGACACTAGCTGCCAGGAGTTAGAGCAGACCGCCCCCGGGTAAGGGCTCAGTCCTACAAGCCTGCTGCCACTACTCCAGATGGCAATCGCAAGTCCAGGTTGTCACCTGTGCTTCTGACCAAGCAGCTATATATATGGAGCTTCCCACAACCCCCTCCTCAGTTCAGTAATTTGCTAGAACAGCTCACAGAACTCAGGAAAACAGTTTACTTACTAGATCACCAGTTTATTATAAAAGACTATAACTCAGAAACAGCCAGATGGACAAGATGCATAAGGCAAAGTATAAGGGAAGGCGTGTGGAGCTGCTATGCCCAAAGCGTGCCACCCTCCTAGCACCTCCATGTGTTCACCAACCCCGAAGCTCTCTGAATGCCTTCACTTAGGGTTTTTTACGGAGGCTTCACTACATAGGCATGACTGATTACATCACTGACCATTAGTGATTAGTTCGAGCTCCAGCACCTCTCCCCTCCCTGGACATTGGGGGAGGGGGGTGAAAAGTGGGGCTGAAAGTTCCAACCCTCTAATTACACGGTAGGTTCCTCTTAAAGGCAGCCCCCCCCATCCTTAGGGTTCCAAAAGTCACTTCATTAACATAAACTCAGGTGTGGTCGAAAGGGGTGTGTGAGAATAAGAAAAGATGTTCCATTCACCTTTATCAACCTGGAGCTATTTCAAGAACTGGGGACAAAAACCAAAAATTAATTTATCATATACCATTAGCAGCTCTGTGCCAGGAACCAAGGACAAAGACCAAACACACATTTCCTGTTATATCACAACATCACAAACATACAGTACCTAACAATGGCAGCCCCAAAACACATGAAGCATAAACTGACAGAAATGAGGAGAGAAATAAACAATGCAGCAATAATATGTGGAGACTTCAATACCCACTCTCAGTGATGGATAGAAGTACTAGGCCAATGAACAACCAACACTGCACACCAACTAGACCTAATCGACATCTGGTCCATTCTACCCAGTAACAGCAGATTATACATTCTGAAGTATACACGGAACATTCTCCAGGACAAACCATATGTTAGGTCATAAAACAAGCCTCAATAAATTTAAAAGGATTGATTGAAATCACAGAAACTATGTTTTCAAACCAAAATGGAATTAAATGAAAAATCAATAACAATGAAATTTGGGAAATTCGCAAATATATTAAAAGTAAACAGTCTTAAAATAACCAATGGTTCAAAGAAGAAATCACAAGGGAAATTAGAAAAATACTTTGAGATGAATGAAAACAAAAACACAACACACTAAAGTTTGTGGGATGCAGTTAAAGTGGTTCACAGAGGAAAACATATAGCTGTAAATTCCATATTTAAAAAGAAGACCTCAGATCAATACCCGAACCTTAAGACACTAGAAAAGAACGAACTAAACTCAAGGCTGGCAGAAGAAAGGAAATAATAAAGGCTAGAGCAGAAATAAACTGGGGCCGGCCCGGTGGCATAGCAGTTAAGTTCACGTGCTCCACTTCGGCAGCCCAGGGTTTGCCGTTTCGGATCCTGGGTGCAGACCTACTCACCGCTCATCAAGCCATGCTGAAGCAGTGTCCCACATAGAAGAACTAGAAGGACCTAAAACTAGGATATACAACTATGCACTGGGGCTTTGAGGAGAAAAAAGAAAAAGAGGAAGATTGGCAACAGATGTTAGTGCAGGGCCAATCGGAAGGGAAGGAAGGGAAGGAAGGGAAGGAAGGGAAGGAAGGGAACTAGGATATACAACTATGCACTGGGGCTTTGAGGAGAAAAAAGAAAAAGA